CCGCGATCAAAGTTTTCGGACGCTTCTGTCTCAGTACCGGCCCGCTATCTCCCCGGCGGATGCGCCCGCCTTGGGCGCGTGACAGGGGCGCCGCACTTGCCCCCAGACAGCATACTTCCGGCCAGAAGGAAAGGGGGTGTGCCGAGTGGAGGGAGAGAGTCTCAGGGGTGACGACATCATTCAACGAATCCTTGATTACATTGAATCTCAAGTGGAATGGGCACATGCCTCGGCTCAGTTGTAGCGGACATGATGGCTCTTCGATATCACTCTGTTCAGTCTCTGCACACTATGTGGCACAATTTCACGGAGACCCAATCATTATCATGCTAAGGAAGCTCTCTCGAGAGGATTACTCACATGCGATAGCATATGTGTATAAAGATATGTTAATTTGGGGTCTCATGCCATATCCGAGACAAATTGGGTAGACACCTTGGAAAGCCTTGAGCCGATTGAACTCGAGACGTCCCCGTGCCAAACTGCGCGTGTCTGGGGTCACGCAGAGTTTTGGATTTACAGGAGTGAGAGGAGTGCGGAGAAATCTAATTTTTTGGATGGATTTATATTGCGTGCACTGCGGCATTCTACGTACCTCATCACGAATTCTGGACGATGGTGCCTTTTTGCTACGCTTTTGGACTGCGTTTCAATGAGCGATTTTGGAACATGGTACGTTCCCTTTGTTAGCGAATGCGTTGGCGACTCGATCCCCGGGCGCAGTCAGTTGAGATGGAGCGAATGTACGTGCCGTATGATTGTCATAACGCGGAGCCAGAACATGGCCTTGTGTTGTACGTCGGCACAAAGGAGGCGATATTTCGATCGCAACTTGGAAAAATATGCAGCCGTAGGGGAGACGCTGGCCTGATGGACAGTCCTGATGACAACGTCCTTCGATTCCTTGTTATCGCTGCGCCAGAAGTACCTCCTGAAATCGTCCAGTTGCTTCCAGGCTGGCGCAGCTGGCTGGGGCAGCAGGACGACCCAAAACTGGTGCCGAATGCAGAGTTCAAATTCGGCCAATCGGAAGATGGGACGAATGGTACCTTTGGATCGCGTGTCGCGGGGATTTTTTCCGGATTGCCCGCCCAACCCATAGAAAAGACGGATGGGTTCATGGTCTTCCACGACAATTTTTTTTTACGGGAACAGATTCCGAATGACCCCCGATGGTTCTGTAGTTTTTCAAGAACTACCTGAATGGGCGGGTCTAGACAATATCGTCCTCTGCAATCGCACGGGCGATGATGCAACTGCGGCGTTGTCCGCCACGTGCCGCAGCATGGAAGTAAGCTTCGTCGTGGCATAGTTACGATCATACGAAATGGTTCTCCGTCCGAGATCCCAGGGATGATTACGGAAGGTCTATATGTAAAAAACCACATAGTTTCCGATCGGGCATTGTGGGATGCCCTCGATGTGATTTGCATGTAAAACGGTGTAAATCCGTTCGAGATTACCATGATAAGGTTAAAGTAGAGAAACGTGATGTTTTGCTCCAGACACAATTTACCAATCGGTTCATTCTGGCTCCAGCTGGAGTCTACCCCACTTACCTGAATCGAGACGAAGCCATCGAATGTTCTGGACACATTTTTTTTCGAGGGCTGTGCGCAGTTGCTTCATAATGTTCCTGAAGCACAAGAAGCACAGGTGCAGGAAACATTTCAGAAAAGGAGAAGTCGTTGGCGGACATGACTGGAATGGCCGAATACATGTGCTTTACCCCTTTTGGGTGGCTGAATTATGTCGCGGCATGCCGCCCTATAGACCTGACTCGTACTTCTGTTTCCTGGAGCCACTTACGAGCATATTCATGTCCTACAGTTCTTGGAGGTCTGATAACACCAAGGTGTGTCAATGGTGGCCCATATCTAGGAGAAATATGGAATCTTCTGGGTTGCCCATCAAGTGCCCACCACTTTGCGCGTTAATTTGGCCATGTGTGGACGAACGCTTGATCGAGTACGATGGTGGATGGCAAGCGTGGGGGGACGTGCTCACTGCGGATGGAGGGGATCCTCCAGCGGCTATCTGGCTCGTACACAATTTCGCATGTAAGATCAAGGATGCTCGCTCTGATCTGAAGATTCAGTTCCGCGTGGAACACCGAGTGCTTAATGTGAGGACTCTGAGATTCATATTTGCGATTCTTTCGGAAAGTCGTGAAAGGGAGAGACAGCGCCGATTGTTGGACCCCGGCCAGAGCCGCCCCAAATTCTTCACTATTGACTAGACAGTTGGAGACATGTGTTCAAATAGGTCCGAGATCGGCTCGTGTTCTGGGTTTCTGGTAAAGTCGCCAAGCACCGCAGGTATCTTCAATGAAGGGTTGGAGTGTGAAATTCTCACGACCAAGATGTCTACAGAGGTGATTGACTGCTTGTCGAGCATGTGAATTGCCCGTTCCCAGAGAGTCCATGCGTGAAAACGTATGTCAAAGACGGCGGCAGCCTGGAGCAGGACCAGCATGCGGCCATCTCTGCTTTGCCTCGATGACTGCTGCCGTCAAACTTATGGAGGAATCTATTCACTGCCAGATTCGGATGGTTATGTCCACGAGAGACACGCGGTGGCCAGAACCGCCTACCTGTTGCGAGATTTCTCGGGTAAGCAGCTCGCGCCCGATTTGTTTGATGGCAGGCCCATTCGGGTAATGGGCATACTCCGTGGGCATATAACGGAATATGCTATCCAGGGGCTATATGTCCATCGACTCCCGACGCGCTGGATTCTTGGAGAGAGAAGGGGCGCTGTTAGGATTGGGGCTCAGCCTCAAGACTAAGATACGCATGGGCCCGTGACGCATCCAGACAGCTGTGACAGACTTCGGAGGGCACCAACTATGCACCAACGCCGATCCTGGCCCAGGATCACCCTGGGCCCAGGATCGGTGTATATGCCTTCTTGCGCAAGGCAGGAGGGCGTATGCGCCGATCCTGGGCCCAGGGTGGTCCTGGCCAGGATCGGTGTTGGTGTATAGTTGGTGCCTTCCTAAGACTGTCGCAAATGAGTCACGTGGAAAGAACCGTGGCCGCATGCATGCAAGAGCACCTGGTTCATCTGACCGACAGACACGGATAGCATAATGTCACAATTTCTGTTGGTTTTATGCGTTTAGTCGGCGATCGTGGCATCCCTGATGTCGGCTTTCCTGGTGTCGGGATGCCCGCTGATCGCCAACTGCAGGATGCAGGCGCGGCTGGCGTTGTAGTGGGTTTGCCCGCTCTAGTTAGTATTCCGAATCCCATGGCGAACCCTATCGATCCAATCAGAAAAGCCAGCTCCCAAACCGGGCACAAATATCTGACCGAGGGGTCCGACTGGAGCCGAGAATCGCGATTGCAGGTTGGCCGCGAGCAGCGGCTCAGCTGCTGCTCCCGCGCCCGTCAATCCTGGGGGTGTTGCTTCGCATCCCTTGCCTCCTCCTCCTGCGCCTCCTTCGCGGGCGCCTGCCGTGGCTGCTGCCCCTGATGGGCGCCCCCCGGCTGCTGCTGTTGCGGTGGTTGCTGCAGGTGAGGCGATGATGGCCGCCGTGTCCGATGGGCGCTCGCTGCGCGAGGGTGCGAAGAGGGCGCCCTGGCGGCCGATGCAGGGGCGAAGGGCGAGGTCACGGGGCAGGGGCCTGGACGCAGAGCGGAGAACTGCCGAGTCGGAGCCGCCGCCATCGAGGACAAGTACGGCACCGTGGCCAATGCAAGTTCAGGATCGCCAGAGGTGGATCGAGAGTGGCGCATCGAGTCGTCGCTCGACAAGAGACAACTACCACCGTGGGCAGTGCCAGCGGTGGGAAGGACGACAAGCGTGATGAGAGATGGGAATGGTATCACAAGGATCGTGCGTCGTAAAATTGACTGCGACAACAAAAGGGAAACACATCTGGCCATGTACGAGGCCAATCTATGATGCTGGCTGAGGCTTAGCTTCTTAGTTTTTATAAGCTAAAGAAGAACGCGACGAAGTTCCTGTGACTGAACTCCAACGTTCACAGCAGAGCATGGGCAACTTATTTGCGGGGTACGTCGGCCCGCTCCTACCTTGCCATCGTAGGATTCCAGCGTTAGTATTGGCGCTCCCCTCGCTTGCTCGAAGCGTTTTTTGGGGCGCGCTGGGGGGGGGGTAGAGATTTCTCGAGAGTGCCAGGAAAACGCGGATGCCTCTGGGCTGGGTTGGTGGCTTGGGCCTACGCGGCCCGCCGCGGAGCAGTTCATGCTCTCTGCCCGCTCGCTCCGCGCCGCCGCCCGCTGTCGCCGCCGCCGCCCCGCGGCAATCGTATGCGCATCAAACAGGGACGCGCGAGCTGCGCGCGTGCATGGGGAAGAGAGAGGCGAGGGGTTCGCGTCGTTATCGTTCTCTCTCTTGCTTTGCTCTTTTACTTCTCTGTGGTTGCATATCATTGCGTAGCGGTTCCATCGTGAGCTTTGAGACCCTTAACATACCGATATCAACCGATCCCACTTTCACAGGGAATGTCGATTCTTCGGCGAATGACTCATGGCCCTGAGGATCGTCGTGGTGATGCTAGTTTTCCCCGCGTCATGAGAAAACGACGGACTTTTCAATCGCTTCGCTCATTCCGCTGGCCATCTTGCGCACCGCGGTGGCCTGGCCGAGAGGTCGTCGGCAGTGCGGAGCTGCAGGGAGCGGCGGCCCCAAAACGTTTCCAGAGACTCTCAAGAGGGCTTCAAAACGGCTTCAGAGCGCCTCAGGACAGCCCAAGAGAGCCCCAAAACGGCCCAAGGAGGCCATAATACGAGTCGGGAAAACCGGTCTTGGGAGGGGCTCCGCGCCTCTGGACAGGGGTGCGCCTTTCTACAGCAACGATAAGGAACCGTCGGATATGCGGGGGGCGACGGGGTGGCGACAGCAAGAACAGAAGGAATCGAGCCGCCAGGCGGGCAGCCTGGCAGCTGGGGGAGCAAAGTGAGTATGAATGGTTCGTCGCCGTGGGCGAGCCGCGCCAGTCGACAGAGCTTTGGGGCGGGGGCGCAGCGCAGGGTGTCCTGGCCCTGGCGGCGGCGTCCGCGGCCCTGGGGGCGCTCGTCTTGCCGCGTGCAGGACCCCCGCGTCCGGCTCGCCGCCTGGGCCTTCCACTTCCCTCCTGGCTCCTCTCTCGCTCCTCCCTTCTTCTTACAATTTTTCCTCTCCCCTTCTCCTCCCTCCCCTCCTCCCTCTCCTCCTCTCCCTCCTCCTCCTCCTCCTCCTCCCATTTTTCTGCCTCTTCCTCCTCTCCGAGCGCTGGACGGCTGGCCCGCGGGGCGGCCGCCCTGTGAGCACACGGCGGGGCGGCGCGCGAGGCTGCGGTGCAGCGCCGACGTAGACAGGCTCACCGAGCTCGCCTCCCGACTCTCCGGCGGCCCCAGCTGCAGCGCCGGTGCCGCTCGGGCCCCACCCAGGCTCTGACGCACGGCCGCTGGCGTGGGCCGCGCGCGGTGCAACATGTTTGTTGAGATTGAGCGGGCTCGGAACAGCTGGAGCCAAAGGCCTCGCGACGGCGAGTCGGCGACATTCCACTTTGAGGGCAACCACCGATAATGTAGCGAGGAACCCGTGGCAAGCGAGAGGGCCGCGATCGACTTGGTGACTATTATCATGGACCGGCTGTCGCTCCGAAGCCGTGTAACTGCCCCCGCCCTTGGGTTGCGAGCACCCGAGGACGAGGACGTGCTTCCCGAGATTGCTGAATGATCGAAGGAGGTGGCGCAACACGTACAGCGTAGCCCTGCCTTCGTAGACGGCGATGCTTCGCCCCTTGCGCCTCCACGGGAAGCGACCAACGACTGACCAGTCGAGCTCGATCATTTTCCTCGGAACTTCTGGGAACTCGACGACCCGCTTAGCCCCCCCGAGCCCGTAGACGTCCCGCGGGTTGTCCAGGGCACCTGTCACAGCTTCAGGGGGCCAAAGACGTGCACGCGAGGGGGCAATCCAGGGGGCCGCCTTACGGGCCTCCCCGGCGCCGGCAGCCGCCGCCTCAGCGTTTCGAGCGAAGCCCAGCTCGTGGCGACGAGGTCCCAGGTCGGCGCCGATACGACCCCAGCGCCAACGCTCTGAGGTCCCATCGACGCCGCGAGCCATCGAGGCCCCACAGCGGGCCGAGCACTCCCCGAGCCCCCAATCTCTGGCGTCGACGGCCACGACGGAGTCGCTCCACCCAGCTCGAAGATCCCGCCACAGAGCGAGTTCCCAGCGCACGGACACCCAGAGCCTGGTCTCTCGGGTGCAATGCTTCCTGACGAACCGACAGCACGACCAGGACAGCGCCAGACCCTCCCGGCGCACCCGGGAGCGGAAGACAGGGTGGCCCAGTAGGCGCTTCAGGTGACGCCCAGAGCACCGACCCTTCCGGAGCACAGCCCGGATGGCCAGCCGAGCCCGCCAGAGGGGGGTCGGGGTGGCAGCAACGCGACCTCTAGAGCCGTGGATTTGACCCCAGCACCTGGGCCTGGACCACCATGTCTTCCCACGAGTACTCCTACTCTGTGAACTCCAATCCTCGAGCTTTCAAGGCGCGGATGGCATCAGCCACCAGGAAGCGGACGGCAGCGACATCGGTGGACAGAGCGATGAAGTTGTCAACGTACTGCGAATGGCACGCTCGATTCAAGTCCGACGTCACCTGCTTATCTACAATGCGATTCTCTGAGGAGGCTCCAACTGGTTCAGTGATACGTTCGTGTACTGCCTGACACATCCAGAGAGGCCAATTCCATCCCATGGGTATGACGGCGAGCCTAGGGCACACCAAATCATCAGGGGGCACCTGCTTACCCCCAGCATCAACACATTCCACTGCCCCCGCCTGCACAGCCCTGAAACAAAAGTAAGGTCTAAGGGGCGGAGGGAGCTGCATGTGATAAAGAGGCATCAGAAAGGTCGGACCCCCCGACATGAAGGTCCTCCTCTTCGCCGAGCGCGAGCCCAGCGAGGCCCTCCTACGTGAGAAGGGAGATGGGGGCTGGGTATCAACCCTTTCCTTACAAGAGAAGCTGAAATCTACCATGCCCCGCTGGTGCAGGGCTCGGGTAAACTCCTCAAAGGCCGCGACGCGTCGCAGCTTCGGGCAACTGTGTGGCACGGCTACCTGCGTACATTTCAAACGAGATTCAGCCTCACTGGACGGTAGCAATCGGCCATGGACGAAGTCCCTAATCATTTCCGACCCGCCGCCACCCCACAACTCCTCCAGTAGCGCCAGTGCAAGTGTGCCAGAGGGGAGCGAGACACTGGGGAGGTTCTGGGAACCGAGCAAAGCAGAGTCAACGTCGTACCAGCTCGCGACGCGAAGCTTCGTCAGAGCTTCTGCGGGAGTCACCTCCGGCGGAGGCGGGCCCAACGCAGCGACCGATTCCCGAATCCTATCCAGACAGTGCCGCTGCCCGAGCGCGACAGCAACTGTATGGTCGGCACCTGCGCCGACGGGCGGGTGAGGCTGGTAGAGGTAGAGCGAGTTCAGAGCCCACTTTGCACGATCACAGTCCAGCTCGAACCCCTCACGCTTGCCGAGTCTCTGTCTGGCCCCACGGGCGACGTCGATGCGGGCGCCACGGACTCTCAACCGACGTACGTGGAAGAGGCAAAACGTCGCGCGGCACCAATCGAGAAGCCTCGTCCCCGCAATTGAAAGCCTCAAAGATCATGGGCGAGCCTGGCCTCGCATGAGGAGGGATGCAGAGGAGGGAGGAGCAGGAGGATAACGAACAGAAATGAAGCCCGCGCGGCTCGCTCACAGCAGCGCCAGCCAACCTGGGCCGAGGACAGAGGGCGGCGAGCGGCGCCAGCCGTTGCCCCCGCCCTTGTCCCTCTTACGGGCAGCATCCCGCTCCTCGCGCCCCTTCCGGAGCGCCATCTGCAACTGCGCCTCCCGCTTCACGTCGGCTCGCACGATGTCCAGCATGTCGGGGCAGATCACGAGCTGCCCCGTCTCACGGCCGAGCCCAAAGACCGCCTGCTGCTCCTCCAAACTCAGGCGCCCGCTGTAGCTCTTCGACTCCGCCTCCTTCGCGCGCTCGAGGTGGGCAAACTCGATGATCTGCATGCGCCTCAACAGCATCTCGATGATCACGAGGTTCGTCCCGTCCAGTTCACTGAGAAGACTTCACAGCCCCACCACGAGGCCGTCCGGACGCCTGGGAGACCCCAGTCTTTCCCGACGTCCTCCTTGCTGACGGAGGCACACATGTCGGCCCAGGTCCGCTCTCTCTTCTCGTTCCTGTTGCGGCGACGAAACGGTCGAAGAAGCTCTCGTCCTGCTCTGGCTGGAGGTACTGTACGAAGAGCCCCTCACCGTCGGGCAAGTTGCGGGTGTCCTTCTCGCCTACAGCAGCCGCGCCCGCGACGTACTGCACCTCGTCGCCGAGCCGAAAGCCGCCGTAGCTCTCGGCAGCCACCCAGCGTGCCGCCGTCGCCGCAGCCGCCGCCGGTGCAGCCCCCTCGCCATGGAGCGGCCCCATGGCCGGGGGCACCCGCGCCGGCGCCGCCGGCCCCGCCACCGCCGGTCTCCCTTGGCCCGGCGGCGGGAGCGCCCTCGGCCCCTGCGGCTGGGCCGCCAGCAGGCATGGCACCCAGGCACCGGGCGGGCGCGGCCACTCCCTGAGCGGCCGCGAGCGCCGTAGCCTCGTTGGTGGCCTCGGCCTCGGCGGCGGTCACGAACGCCGCGAGCTGGGCCGCCGTCGGGTCCGCGCGGAACCAGTGCACGTCCCCAGGGGGGATGCCACCTGGGAGACGTTGTACCCAGCAGCCCATCGCACGGTTGCAACATCACCACTTGTCGGTCCATCATATTGTGCAAAATGCATGATGGTCTGAAGTACATGTCACAAACAGCCTACGTACCATCCGACAGCGCCACCACGCCCAGCACCAAACGTTGGTGCCACACCTGTCGTGGCCCGTCCCCGACGCACAGCACGAACGCCCACGTCGGCATCGCGGTCGAGCTCGATGCGCTCGAGAGTCAGGACGGCCCGCCGCCTGCAGCCCCCCACGGCCTGGACCACCGCCCAGGCCAGCGTCGGGGCCACGCAGCCCACGGCCACGCCGAGCACGAACCAGCCCAGCCCCCAGCACAGTGCAGGGCAGCCGACGGCCTCCGGCGCCGCCGCAGCGGCCGGGCAGGCCAGGCAGGCCGCGCACCCCGCGGCCTCGGCGCCCGCTGCCATGCCAGGGCAGGTCGGGCAGGCCAGGCAGCTCAGGCCTGGGCAGGCTGGCGCCTGACACGCCCCGCACACCTGGCACGTCAGGTCAGGGCACGCGGGGCAGGGCGGCGCTGACGGGCACCGCGCAATGCGCGGCGTGCTCGCCTCCCCGCTGCAGCACCCAATCCAGCGGGGCACTTCCCTCAATGGAAGTGAATCGTTCCCAACATCGTTGATGAGTCTTGGGTTTACACTGGTCCTCCTCCTCCTCCTCCTCCTCCTCACCCTGCTCCGCTCTTCCTCTCCCCTCCCCTCCCCGCCCTGCCCGCTAACTGCCGCTCCCCGCAACCCCATCACTGTCCGTGGCCTTGCAGACTGGCCAGCAGGCTCGTCATCGGGGCGCTCCCGGTCCTACGGCAGCGTACGTGTGCTCGATGCTCTCGCACAGCGTGGCGTTCTTACCGAACCAGCCCTCCAGTTCGTGGAAGCGCTCGAGGGCCTGCGGTGCGGGGCATCCCGTGTGCAGCTCGCGCCAGCACGCTCCGCCTCGCACTCGCCCTCTCGCCCTCGCCCTCCTGCCTCGCCCTCCTGCCTCGCCCTCCTGCCTCGCCCCGCCCTCCTGTCTGCTCCCTCGTCGCCCTCCTGCCTCGGCAGGCCTAACCCTCGGCCAGGGTGGTCGCTGCCGCCGCCCTGTCAAGAAGGGCGAGAGCAGAGCGGAGCAGCGCTGGTACCGGGCACGTGCCCTTTGGGACGGGCGCTGGAGGCCGTAGCCTCAGATCCCGTGGGTGTAACAGGAGGAGGGACATGAGGAGGGACAGGAGGCGGCGCAGGATGAGGAGGAGTACGCGTACTTAGGAGAATGAGGGGGAGGAGGTAGAGGAGGATCAGAATCATGATCAGGCCCGTAAGAGTTCGTCTGCTGCTGCTTAACGCCTGCCAAGCTAACTGCCTAGCTGGGTGGGGCAGGGGGCAATTTAGGGGGGTGAAACTTGGTGCCGCCAAACCTTCAAGTGCGGCCCGTGGCTCTCGACGGACGCCGCATTGCCCCTGCAGGCACCCCCGAATTCGGCACGCAGCCTCACGATGGGCCCACGGATGGGGACAAACTTATTCTGCTACCGACCCTCCCATGGGCCGACCTTTCGTTTTCTCCGGGCAGCCAGGGGCCATGGGGTAGCGAGGCGGCGCAGGATGAGGATGAGGAGGAGGAGGAGGAGGAGGAGGAGGACGCGGACGCCTGAAACGTTCCAAAGCGCCATTTCCGGCATGTTAGCCATGATAATCAGTGAAACTTGGTGCACATGTTGAACAAACATGTGCGCGGCGCTCAGGCGAGAGCCACATTTTGAAAACGACACGCCCTCAGCTTCCGTGAAGCTGTTGCAAATTGTTCAAACGAATGTGCGCGGCGCTCAGGCGAGAGCCATATTTTTCAACGACCCGCCCTCAATCCGTGAGGAATTTTGCGAATGTTTCAGACGACTGTACCCGGCGCAAAGGCGAGAGCCACATTTTTTCATCGACCCGCTTTCAATCCGTGAAGCTTTTGCAAATGTTCAATGCGAATGTGCGCGGCGCTAAGGCGAGAGCATCGTTTGGAAAACGACCCGCTCTCAAGCTGTGAAGTTCTTGTAGTTTTCCAAGCGAATTTACGTGGCGCTATTGCGAGAGCCTCATGTTTCCAACCACCCGCCCTCCATCTGTGAAGCTTGTGCCCGTTTGAGCATCGTAAAGCTGTTCACGGTGGTGCTGCTGGAGGCCGTCATGCTTGTCACGGTCGTGCTGCTTGCGCGAGTCATGCTGTTCACGGGTGTGCTGCTGGAGTCCGTCATGCTGCTCACGATCGCGCTGCTGGTTTCCGTCGTGCTGCTCTCGATGCTGCTGATGGAGTCCGTCACGCTGGTCACGGTCGTTCTGCTGGTGGCCGTCGAGCTGCTCACGATGGTGCTGCTGGCGCCCGTCATGCTGCTCACGATGGTGCTGCTTGAATCCGCCTTGTTGCACACGGTCATGCTGCTGCAGCCCAGAAACGCATCAAACAGGCCATCAAGACGACGAACGCACGCGCAGTGCGGAAGAGGGACGAACACGACTGACGCACAAAGGCTGTTTCGGCTCATGACACGATCGGTCAGGATGCTAGGGCCTCCAGAGAGTGCGTCTTACCCCTGGAGTATGCGAGTGGGCCAGGAGAGCTGGAGAGCCTCCTGAGCGAGAGAGTGAGACTACACACTGTCTGTCACTGGCCTGGCTTTCTGTGCGCTTGGAGAGCGCCGACGTTTGTCGCTCCTCAAGCCCCGGCCTCAGGAGTTGGAGTGCAAAGCGAAGCAGGGCTGCCCGGTGCGGAGAGGCCGCTGCCTGCCACTGCCGTAGCACCGATGGGGTGCATGGCGTTTAGCTTGCACCCGAGGCTATAGGCTGCCGCGGTCCGCAGGTGGTCAGGCCAGAGCTGCGGGCTCGGTGCTCGGCGAGGTACCTCGAGCCTGCGGCGCCCGGCTGTTTCAGAGAAAAAGAGCGGAATGCTCACTGTTTGTTTCCGTCCGATCCCATATTTGCGCGCGAACCTTGTCGCGTGCCCGAAACGGCAGAAGACCGTTTGTCTCCGTCCATTACGTTTTGTGCGCACGCCTTGTCACGTGCCAGAAGAAAGGAGGGCTGTTTGCCTCTGTATTTTTTTGGGGGGGGGGGCGCGCGAACTCTGTCGCATGGCGCAGCGAAAAAGTAAAGCAGCCAAGTCAGAGTCTGGAGCAGTTCCTTTGGAGTGCGACTTTCGACTCCCCCTATTTCCGATGTGGGCGGCTGGGACACGTACGGCCTCGGGATCGTACGTCGTGGCAATCGTAAGGCTGTTTTGTGCTTGCTTGCGCACGCTATGTGTCTGACATGAGCTTGCAAATCTGAGAGACTGCTGTCGCGTGCGTGCGAACAGGTGCGCGCGCGCGACCGCCACTTTTGGCCCGGGGCTGGAGTAGCTGGCCCGGCGAGCCTTGGTACGGTACGGAAGTGCAAAACGATTTCGATATCATAGATCCCGTTATCCAGGGACCTCGAGGAACCGTACGACCCTCGAAGTAGGGTAGGGAAGTCCAACGCCACAAGCCTGATGTGATTTTATTCTGTCTAGGGAAACATGCTGCACCATCGAAACGGCCTGGGACAATATTGAGGTGTTCGAATAGGCAATGGCAATGACGCTGGTTGTAAGCATGAGGAGGACGGAAAGGATGACGAGGAGGAGGTGGAGGAAGAGGAGGAGGACGAGGAGGACGAGGAGGAGGACGATGATGAGGATAATGATGAGGATGAGGATAATGGTGATGGTGATGATGATGATGATGATGATGATGATGATGATGGTGGTGGTGATGATGATGATAATGATGTTGAGGATAATGGTGATGGTGATGATGATGGTGATGGTGATACTGATAATGATAATGCTTGTGATGATGATGCTGCTGATGACTGTGGTGACTATGATGCTGGTGATGAAGATGCTGATGCTGATGCTGAGGCTGATGATGATGATGATGATGACGATGATGATGATGATGATGATGATGATGATGATGATGATGATGAGGATGATGATGATGACGATGATGATGATGATGATGATGATGATGATGATGATGATGATGATGATGATGATGATGATGATGATGATGATGATGATGATGATGATGATGATGATGATGATGATGATGATGATGATGATGATGATGATGATGATGATGATGATGATGATGATGATGATGATGATGATGATGATGATGATGATGATGATGATGATGATGAGGAGGAGGAGGAGGAGGAGGAGGAGGAGGAGGAGGAGGAGGAGGAGGAGGACGAGGTCGTGGAGGAGCGCCGTCGGGTGGGCGGGCGTTGCTGTCGGCCCCGCGCTGGTGGAGGATCCTGTTTTGCCTCGTTCGCTGGAGGCCGCGTGTGCGGCAGGCCGCGCGCCACCCAGCCGGACTGCCGGGTGGGGGGGGGGGGGGCAATCTCAGGGGCAACAGCAGACGGCAGATGACAACGACAGACAATGTTAAACGACGGGGGGGCAACGACCGACGGCAGGGGTGTCAGGGGCAAGCACAGGCGGCAGACGACGTGGGTCAGGGGCATTGGCTGCGGTGGGGGGAGTGGCCTAGGGGGGAAGCGTAGGTTCTCACTCGCCCAACCGTCGCCGATCGGGGCTTGGGCCCCCCAAGCCCTCTCACGAACGCTGGGTTTCGTCTTCAGGGGCTTATCGCCGATTTATCGAGGATGTGCCTCCAATTTTTTTCGGGGGGTGCCTCTGGAGTGTTCCACAGGCCTGTGAGGGCTTTGGCGGGGAGGAGCGGGAAAGTGGAGCAGGAGGGGGCTGTTTTGTTATTGCTCTCATCACTTCGCGTGTCATTCAGCATGTGTATCCCAAACTTTCGATACCCGCCTACTTCGTCGTCGATCGTGCCCCCCTTGGGGTATATCATCCTTACCTGCCGCGTGTAATTGGCGCGGCGCAGCCCCTAAAGCAAGGGAGGGATGGAGGAAGGAAGAGACAAGGAGGAAGTAAAAGGATGGAACGCGACATCTTAGCAGGAGGGCGGTTCGGAACAGGAGAACAAACGGCAAATCCAGACGGGCGGGTCGGGCGGGCGGGCCCAGACGGCCAGGTCGAGCGGACGGGCCGCTGAAACGTCAGTCCTGCTTGCATCGAACCGAAGTCTCGAGTGATAGCTCGATTCCCAAGTAACTTGTGAGGAAGTCCAGGGCGAGAGCGTCCCGTCCCAGCCCGTTGCGGGCTTTGCCGCAGAAGGTCGCGAGGAAGTGCCGCGGGCGCCGCGCCCGCGCGGAGCTCGAGGGGGTCGACGTGATCACGGGCCACAGGAGCATCTCGGACGCGGGCAGGTGCGCTCCCGAGCTGCTCGAATGCATCTCCACCGAATGTCCCAGCGGCAGCGTCCACATGGCGTACCCGCGCCAAAGTCGGAACCTTTTTTCCGTCGGCGGTTAGGCAGAGTAGCTGCGCTGGCGGAAGAGCTAATAAAACGGGGGCACCGTTGTAGCGATTAGTGCCAACATGCAAGAGGGAGGGAAAAAAGGGAGGGGCGCGGCCGAAGGGGGGAAGAACGGGGCGAGGGCCGCTCAGTGGGACGGGTCACGCCCGGAGCAGTTGGCGCGGCCTGCCCCGCCGCCGGGGGCTGCGGCGGCTGCTGCGCCGGGGTTCGGCGGCGGGGCGCAGTGCAAATGCCAAAGCGAGTCCAGCGGGTCAAGTGTACGATGCAGAAGTGTACGATGCAGTCAGGGGCCTGCGTCACCAGGCTGTGGCAGCGCGCTCCCCAGGTTGGGGCGCGGATGGGCGGCGAGAGTCGCCGGGGAGGGCTGTGTCCAGCAAAATGTTGGGCCTGCGGAAGCAGCGGGCGGCAAGACCAAGTCCGGGGCCCCAGCGTGGCGGCTGCAGGCAGCCACCCGGCGCCATGGCGGCGCGCGGAGGGAGGGAGAGCGGACGGGGAGGGACGAAGCGAACAGGGAGAATGACGCTCCGCTTGCAGGAAACCCACAGGTTGGGCGGCGGCGCCAGGCAGTAGCGGCGGCGTCAGGCTGCCCCGCGCGTTGCTCTGAGGGTTGAAGGGGGGGGCAGCGCGGTGCCCTCAAAAACACATCGGAGCACACCTGACACGTTTTGTGGGCTCACATGGAGCTCCACCGAAGGCGCCAGCGGCAGCGTCCGCATGGCGTAAGCGGATCCACTTCGGCATACCCCTCGCGCGTTTTGTGGTCTCCATTTACGGAGCTCCGCCGAAGGCCCCGGCGGCAGCATTCGTGTGGCGCACCCGCGCCCGATTCGGCACACCCGTCACACGTTTCGTGTCCCCACAGGGATCCACCGAAGGCCCCAGCGGCAACGTGCGCATGGCCTGCCCGCACCCGATTCTGCACGCCCCTCACACGCTTCGTGGCCCCATGGGGAATTCCAAAGAAGGCCCCAGCGGCAGCGTCCGCATGGCGTACCCCCCACCCCCCTCAGCGCACCTCTCGCACTTGTCGTGGCCCCGTGGGGAGCTCCACCGGAGGACCCAGCGGCAGCGTCCGCATGGAACACCCGCACCCATGTCGGCACACCCCTCACACGCTTCGTGGCCCCATACGGGGTCCACCGAAGGCCCCAGCGCCCCAGCGGCAGCGTCCGCATGACGTATCCGCACCCATTTCGTCCCCCCCCCCCCCGCGCGTTTCGTGGCCACAACATACAAACCTCAACCGAAGACCCCACTTGGAGGGTCTGCATGGCGCCACCGCGCCCATTTCGGCAACTATAGGGAGATGAGGGGACTAGGATCAGGCGAAAAACAAAGAATTTGAGGATCCGGAGGCGAAATAATCGATGAGGAGGTGGAGGAGGATCAGGACTGTAGGGGCGTGGGGGGGAAAAGGCGAGGAGGAGGAGGAGGAGGAGGAGGAGGAGGAGGAGGAGGAGGAGGAGGAGGAGAAGAAGGAAGAAAAGGACGAAGGGAGGAAATGGCAGAGGAGGGAATGGAGGAAGGGGGACAGACGAGGGAAGGAACTGGACACAAAACGGTCGCGCCCAGGGCTCGGGGCACCGCGGGCCAAGCGGGCAGGAACGCAACGCACACTGGAAACCAGGGGAGGGAAAATGAGCTTGGGCAGGATTTGGGCACAGAACGGTGGCGCACGGGGCTCGCGCCCAACTTAAAAAACCCTCCCGCTCGCCCATGTCCGCCTTTCTCCCCATCCACGCACCAATGCCCTCGCCAGACACCCTCCTCCCTCTCGCCTGCCTCGAGATGCTTGCAGCTGCATCTGGTTGGGTCCTTCGCCAGGGTAATTTGTTGAATGCTCAAGTCTAAAGAGCAATTATTGTTGATCTCCGGAAACGGTTCCGCGCGCTCTCGCATCGACGCCGGCTACACTTTCTCTGAAGACGAGGCTCCCACCCGAGCGTTGGCTTGAGCCTAAATGTGTTGGGGGCCCAGCCCCCTGGCGCCGTCAATGCTGGGTGCGCCAGCCCAGCTGGGGCGGGGCGCGTCGTGTCTTGCGGCCCGGGCCGTTGCTCTAGTTGTTTTTATCCTGGCCTTTGCCCGGGCCTGGCCAGGGCCTGGCTCGGTCTCCCTGGCACTGGCCCCTCTGCGTGACGTCTTCGGCTCAAGCCTCTTCGCCGCAGGCTTCCGGGATTTTCCCTCTGCCTTCGGTGAATGTGTCCGTCTTTCGCGCCTGTGGCTCTCATTCTGGTCCGTGGTGCCGGGAGAGGCAATCTGGCGTTCAGGTGGCGTGCGTTCTGACCAGTTCCGGCACGACTGTTTGAATTTCCTTGGCTTTTGGTTTGTCAGCTGGCCCCATGAGATACGGGTCCGCCGCTTCACTCAGGAGTGGTTCAGCTTTCTGGAACGGCCAGACGTGACACCTGTCGGTCCGCTGCCCTGACTTCTGGCGCCCTGTGGCGACAAGGTTCAAGTCATGTGCCTGGTGATTCAGCTCCCATGGTACACGCATGTTGCAGCTTCTTGGCCGCCCCCGTAGATTGCAGTCCCCCCCTCGGCGCAGCTCAGCCCCAGCGCAGCTGCTTCCCCCGGCGGTGGGGCTTGCCTTGCTCGGCGCGCGAGCGCCGGTAATTAGGTTGCTCGTAGCCCGAGCCAACTCTGCTGACGCTGTCGGCGCCTTCGCCTGCGGCCACGACGGAAAAGTGGCTCAAGCAGTGACGCCGCATCGCGCCCCATGCCTTCTAGAAACGGCCCCGCCTTGTCTTGCCACCATGTCGCAGCGCCCTCGGGCGGTAGGCGGCGAAGTTGCGACGACTGCCATCGGAGAGTGGGCATCTGGAAGTCAATCATGCACGCGTCCACTTTCGAGGAGCAGCTCTCGCCGTAAGTGTGTGTTAATTCTACGGTGCCCAGCGTCATGCGCATTTGAGGCACACGTACCGGATGCAAATGCACAGTGGCACGAGATGAATATGTATTTGGTCTTGAATTTGTTAGCATGTGAACCTTTATGCTGATTTCATGCCTGAAGCGAACGCAGATATCATTGAATTCGTTCCTGTTGTATGGGAACCGATTCCGGAACCAGTGGGTTACAGGCCCACCTTGTGATCAAGGTCATGTGGAATTCATTGTTTGCGCTCGAGATGAAGGAGGCGCAGGTGTTAGCAGCTACGCGTATCCAGCGATGCCGTCCACGCCGACTACACAGGTGAATCTCCCTAGCTCTTGTTTGGCGCCCCGGACAGAGTGCGCCTGTGCAATCTCGGGCGCTTCAGAAAGCTAAGCGTGCCAGCCGTGCAACTCTGCATGCGCAGAGCACGCAAGGGGAGGGAGAGGTGGGAGGATAAGGAACAAAGGGAGGGAGTACGGACAGGGGGAAGGGGTAAGTAAAGGGGACACAACTAGGATAACAAGCTTGCTACATTTAGTGTCCCCTACGTGCAGCATGATGGCGGCACTCGAAATACGGCCTGTGCCCCACGGAATTCTCAAAGTGCACGATCCCAATCAGTGCGGCATTGGCCCTCCGCGGCAAGGGGAGTCGCAAAAAAGATGCAGTCGCCGGCTGTCCTGGCCGCGTGGCCGATAAGCGGTGGCGCTGCCAACCATACAAACCTAGAAGCAGGTGCAGCCGTGCAGACAAGCGCATTGGTGGGGATCAGCACTCGGGCCGGTGCTGATGCCTACCAAATCGGCCTCAGAGAAGGGAGGAGAAGAAACCACTCGGGATGACAAGCCTGTCCACGGGAAGGGGTCCAGACCGAATTGCGAACAAAATCGCGAATGCGGGTTCCTGGAAACTCCGACTCCTTGGACGGTGCTGTCGCCGGACCGTTTAGGATTTTCCGATCGTGCGGGGCAGGAGCGGCGCGCTGGGCTGGTACTGCACGCGGCCTGCAGCGACACGGTGACGCTGAGCTCCCCCAGAGGCGGGGAGATCGAGGCCCTTCCCGCTCGGCGGTCTGGGAGAGTGGGGGGGGCAATAGCGGCACGGCGGCACCGATCACCCCGAGCGGTGGGGAGACCGAGGCCGTTCCCGCTGGGCTGGGCTGAGGTGGGGGATGGGCGCGACTCGGGTGGGTCGGTCGGCCGCGTCGTAGTCAGCCGCATTCGGTCGGCTCGGCATGGTCGGCTGTTGCATCGTCGCGTTCTTCTCGGCTGCTTTGGGAGTGTCGGTTTCTGTTTCGGTGTCGTCGTCGGCTCCATCGGTTTTCGTTTCTGCCGCCGCCATGGGCAGCTAGAGCGTCGCGCGCGCTTCAGGTGATGCACTCCGTGCGGGGAGGGAAGGCAGGGGGGAAGGAGGCTAGGGGGAGAGAAACTGACCGAGACTGATACTGAACCCACCCGCGTCGCCAGAGATCGCCACAAAGGGCTCGTTGCACACGGTCGGTTTCGCGCGTGCGGCCGCACTCGACTTAGGCATCCGCCCAGATATCCGACGTCATGATTTTGTTTACAACATGGCTCCCCAGAGGTCTGGACCCTTCCCAGGGACTGGCTCTTCATCCCGAGGCGATGTTTGACGGTCCTGGGGCCTGGTAAGAGCCCCTGGAGGCCGAAAACGTCCAACAACTTGCTGCGGCGTTTTTTTTACGACGCGAGGACGTCGGGGAAGCATCGTGAGGGCAGAAAGACGAGCCGGGCGGGCGCAGTCTCCCATCGTGCAACAGACCAGACTGTCTGGAGCCCGACTTCTGTTGCCACGGAGGTGCGCGGTGCCGCGCGTTGCCGCTCCTCGCTTGGCCAAGGCCGCGAAGCTGGGTAACCCAGCTGGTACGCCAGGGCGCCCTGGGGCCTCCCTCCTCACTTCCATCCAGTGTTGTTCCAATGATCCTGTGGTGAGTTGGGTTTTCATTTTGAGTCCGCAGCGCCCCGCACTCCTCCTTCCTCTCCTTGCTTCTGCCCTGCGCATCAGTCCTATTTCGGCACGCCACTCGCACGTTTCGTGGCCTCACTGGGAGCTCCACCGAAGGCCCCAGTGGCATGGTGTTGCACAGCATCCGCCCGCCCATTTCGGCACACCCCTTGCGCAATGATGAGGCGCGAGTCGGCCTGGCTGGGCTCGGCCAGCTGGACTCGGCCAAGCTGCTAACTTCAAGATACAGGGTCACTAACGGTGAGGACGCCTCGAGTGAAACGAACGGCCCGCCGACAAGGGCGGAAGAGGGAATCGGCAGAAAGGGCCGGGCGACAACACAACACAACACAACACAACAAGGACCAGCTGAACTCGGCCAGGCTGGACTCGGCCGAGGCCGGACTTGGCGCTGGCCGAACTCGGCCAGTCCAGACTCGGCGGGCCGGACTCGGCCAGGCCAGGCTCGGCCGGCGTTCTCGCTGCAGTTCGGGGGCTAGCTGGATTCGGCAGGCCGAACTCGGTCGGCCGAACTCGGCCGGGCCAGACCCGGCCAGGCCAGACTCCGCCGGCCGAACTCGGCCGTCCGAGGTCGGCGAGGTCGAAAACAAATGTAGGATGGGGAAAGGTGCGGATCGGACGTTTGTTTTGATCTTATATTCTTCCTTATTACTCCTCTTGTATCTCCTCTTTCGGACTTTCGTCTCTCTCTCTCTCAGTTTACTTCTGCTTCTCTTGTTCTTCTCCTTTTTAACAGAGACCGCAGGTGCGCGCATAATGTGGTTTTGGTAGGTTTGGGATCTTGCTTAGAATCAGAAGAATCTGCGGAGTTCGTTCTTTGAGGTTCAGGACGGAAAGCCGGGAAAAACAGCTGGGGAGTCCGTTTCGTGACGTTCAGCATGGAAAGGGGGATCAAGGAGGAGGAGTAGATGGCAGGAGAAGGGAGAGAGGGAGAGTCCCAGCGTAAATAGATAAGACAGGGATACTTGCCGTACATGGTTTGCCTCCAAACTGTTACTTGGTTTGCGACAATGTGGGAACGGAACGTTGTTCCGATGATCCTCGATTGAACAAGCGAAAATCGAACATCGATAATCAAAGTGAACATCGAGGACCTCAAATCGTCGATCGAAGGTTGAAAACCAGAAATCGACCCTCGAACATCGAACATAGAACCCGCAGAGTCCATTCAGTCAAGTTCGGCATTAGAGGGAGGAAACGAGATGATGAGAAGAAGGGAGAGAGGGAAAGGATAGCAAGAAGAGGAGGATCCAGCCGTGGCTGCCGTCGTCTGAAGGAGAGAGATGAGGAGAAGGAGGAGGAGGAGGAAAAGGAGCAATAGGAGGGGGAGGAGGAGGAGGAGGGGAGGAGGAGGAGGAGGGAGGAGGAGGAGAGGAGGACGAGGGAACGCGCCAGGCCGCCTCCTCCTCCTCCTCCTCCTCCTCCTCCTCCTCCTCCTTCGCCATCTCGGCGGGGCCGCCGCCGCGCGCGCAACCCCGCGCGGGCTCCTCCTCCTCCTCCTCCTCCTCCTCCTCCTCCTCCTCCTCCTCCTCCTCCCCCTCCTCCTCCGCCAACGGGCCTCAACTCCTTGGGTAGTTTTGGGTTTTCTTGGACGTTTTGGGTATTTGTTGGTCTTCTGCGGTGTTTCTGGGTAGTTGGGGGAATTCTCGGGTCGCCTTGGGTAGTCTGGGTTGTCTTGGGTGGCTGTGGGTGGTCTTCGGTGGTCTCGGGTCGGCTTGGGTGGTCTTCGGGGCCCGACTCCCGCAGTCGCGAGCCTGCGCTCGCCATGCAAGCAAGCCCCTTCCCCTTCTCTGCTTGGGGTAATTCCAAGGGTAGTGTTGGGGCATAGTGGGCAGTCTTGGGTATGTGCTGGTCGTCCGCGGTCGTCTTAGGTGGTCTTTGGTAGTCTCGGGATGTCTTGGGTACTATTGGGAAGTCCTCGGTCGTCTTGAGTAGTCTTGGGTCGCCCTGGGTGGATTTGGGGGGTCTTGGGTTGTCTGGTGTAGTCCTGGATTGTCTTGGGTGGCCTTGGGTGGGCTTGGGTGGTCTTGGGTAGTGTTGGTCTTCGGGGCCTGACCCCCGCAGTCGCAAGCCCGCGCTCGCCATGCAAGAAGCAAGCCCCCTCCCCTTCGTTGCTTGCTGCAACTCCCTGGGTAGTGTTGGGTCGTATTGGGCAGTCTTGGGGCGCAGGTGCTGTTATTTCTTTGCGCGGGCCGCTTCGCGCGCGGTCGTTGGTCGGGGGCCCCGCGGCTTCGTCAGAAAGCGCGCGTGGGCGGTGCAGGTGTGGGAACGGCTGAGCATGGTGGCAGGGGCGGATCAGAAGGTGGCAGAGGGCTCATCCAGGATCTCCGAAGGTTCCGGGGAAGAAATTGCCACCAGGGCATCCATTTCACCTCGTGGGGTCCTTTCTCCATCCTACCTGCCTCTCGCTCTCTCTCTCTCTCTATGAATGGCTTCGCTGACTCCGCCGGCCCATATTGTCGCAAAAGCGAGCGGACGTTGAGGCTCTCTCGTGGATCCTTGGCGGCCTCTAGGGCTGTCTTGAGGCCATCATCTTGGGTGTCTTGGAACGATCTTTCGGCGACTCGGGGCCTCTTGGACCGTCTGGGAAGCGTCTGGAGCGCTCTGGGGCTCTGGGGGACCTTGCGGCGACCTTGCCAGGAGTCTCCCTTGTTTCGGCAGGTGTATTTCCCAACCATCCTGTGGTATTGGGTCCTCGTTTTGAAGAGAGAGCCCCGCGTTCTCCTCCCCCTTCCTCCTCCTCCTCCTCCTCCTCCTCCTCCTCCTCCTCCTCCTCCTCCTCATCATCATCATCATCATCATCATCATCATCATCATCATCATCATCATCATCATCATCATCATCATCATCATCATCATCATCATCATCATCATCATCATCATCATCATCATCATCATCATCATCATCATCATCATCATCATCATCATCATCATCATCATCATCATCATCATCATCATCATCATCATCATCATCATCATCATCATCAATGTCATGGCCGTCATCATGACCACCATCGTCAGCATCACCAACATCGTCATCATCACCGTCATCAGCATCATGACCGTCATCATGGCCGTCATTGTCACCATCATCGTCACGTTTCGTTCCACCAGATGTCCCAGTGGCAGGGTTCGCATGCGGTTTCACTTCAGATTTCGGCACGCCCCTCACACGTTTCGTTGGCCCATAGGGAACTCCACCAAAGGCCCCTGAGGTAGGGTTTGCAATTGGTTCCACCCCCATTCCAGCACACCCCTCGCACGTTTCGTGGCCTCATAGTGAGCACGTTTCGTGGCCCAGTAGGGAGCTTCACCGAAGGCCCCAGTGGCAGGGTTCGCATGCGGTTTCCCACCCATCTCGGGACACCCCTCGCACGTTTCATGGCCCCGTAGGGAGCCATTTCAGCACATCTCTCACAAGTTCCGTGGCCCCACAGGGAGCTCCGCCGAAGACGATATTTGGAACTGCGGCACTCGCATCTGCATATTGTTGGGTCCTTCGCCAGGCTAATTTTCGTTCCGGGACTCCCAGGGGTCGCCACGCGCGCGTGAATTAGAAATTGTAAACGTGTAGCCGGAGATCTTAGCGTGCCCCTGGCACCGTCCTACCTGCTTCTCGTTATTGTTTTACTTTCCGGTTTCAATTCCTTCTCGTCTATCTGCTGCTCAGGCTCCGCTGCCTTCTGCTCCATCTGCTCTTCCCTGTCCTCCTGCACCTGCTGGGCCTCCTCTTCTTTCTCCTCGACGGTGCGTCTCGCAGCCGCCGCTGCCGCCGCCGCCGTCGTCGGTCGTTGTCGTCGTCTTCGTCGTTTTCGTCGTCTTTGACGTCGTCGTCGTCGTCGACGCCGTCGTCGACGCCGTCGCTGTCGCCGTCGTCCTCCTTGTCCTCTTTTCTTCCTCTTCTGCTTCCGCCTCTTCATTTCCCTTCCCTCCTCCTGTTCCTCCTTCTCCCTCTCCCCCCCGACATCTGCTGCGTCGCACACTTCCGCGCGGGGCGGGCGGGCCTCGGCGACCAGACTTGGCAAGTCTGCACTCGGCCAGGCCCAGACTCGGCCGGCCGACCTCGGCCCGGCCAGACCCGGCCTGACCGAGCTCGGCTGCGGCCGGGTCGCGAACCTGGCCGGCCAGACTCGGCCTTCTGGACTCGGCCAGGCAGAATTCGGCCGGGGCTCACGCTGCAGCGAGAGCGTTCGGCCGGATTCGGCCAGCCGGGCTCGGCCAGCCGAGATTGTTCTGGCCGGCCGATTTCGACCGGGTCGAAACTCGGCCGGGACGGACTCGACTGGCCGTGCTCGGCTGGCCGGGCTCGTCGGGCCGGACTCGGCCGAGTTTCGCTTGGCCGAGTCCCGCCTGACCGAGTCAGGTCCTTGTCCAAGTTTTCTGCACCCACGGTGATCTCCACCAGGAGCCTTAGCAGCATGGTGTTGTATACCGCCCCCCCCCTGCTCCGCCTGTTTCAGCTCATCCTGCAAACGTTTCGTGGCCCCGCTGGGGGCTCCACCAAAGGCTTCAGTGGCTTCAGTGGCATGATGTTGCGTAAGCGTCCCCCCGCTCATTTCGGCATTCTCGTCCACCGAAGGCCTCAGTGGAATGGTATTGCATGCCGTCGGCCTTCCAATTTCGGCATTCCCGTCGCGCGTCTCGTGGCCCCGCAGGGATATCTAACAAATGCTGCAGTGGCAGCGCGCGTATCGCATGCGAGTCCCCTGCCCATGTCGGCATTCCCGTCACACGTTTCATGGCCCCGCAGGGAGCTCCATCAGAGGCTTCAGTGGCAGAGTATCGAGTGCGGTCCCCCCCCGCCCATTTCGGCACACGCCTCACACGTTTCGTAGCCCCGCAGAAGCTCCACCGAAGGCCCCAGTGGCAGGGTATCGCATGCGGTCCCCCCTGCATATTTCGGCACATTCAAGATGCATTTCGCGGCCCCACAGGAGGCTTCTTTTTTACAGCATGCAACATTTGAAATCATGACACTGCACATAATCCGATAATCAGCAGTATATGAAGATGGAGAAGTGGAACACAGCACTCCTCCATACCGTGATTCGCCCCCTTTTGCACTACCACGCTTGTCACAGGCCAGACCAGGCGTTTCGCTTGAGACTTCTTCGCAGTTTCTTCCCAGCCATCCTTTGTTGAATTGGGCTGTCGTTTGAATTCGCAGCGTCTCGCGTCTCCTCACCCCTCCTCCCCCTCCTTTCCTTGCCTCTGCCCTTCGCATCTGTCCCATCTCAGCACGCCGCTCACACATTTCGTGGCCCTACAGGGAGCTCAACCGACAGCTTCAGTGGTGGCAGGGTATCGCGTGTGGCCCTCCGCCCATTTCGGCACACCCCTCACTCGTTTCGTTGCCTCACGGGGTGCTCCATCGAAGGCCTCACTGACAGGGTCTCGTATGCGGTGCCCCCGCACATTTCGACACACCTCGCACACGTTTCGTGTCCTCGCAGGGACCACCGAAGGCCTCAGTTGTATTTATCTCATGCAGCCCCGTGCCCACGTCGGCATTCTCCTCACAGGTGTCGTGGCCACTTCTGAGACTCGGTGGCAGGGTATCGCATGCTGTTCTCCTCGCCCATTTCGGCACACCCCTAACCAGTCTCGAGGCTCCCTGCTGAGCTCATCCGACAACCTCACTCGCAGGGTACCGCATGCGACCCCCCTCACCCATTTCGGCACACCCATCAAATTTTTCGTGCCCACTAAGGTGAGCTCAACCAAAGGCCTCAGTGGCAGGATGTTGTATGCGCCCCCCGCCAATTTCGGCACACCCCTCACACGTTACGTGTCCCCGCAGGAAGCTCCATCAAAGGCCTTAATGGCAGTGTACTGCCAGCGGTCCCCAACGCCCCATTTCGGTACACCTCGTCGTCGTCGTCGTCGTCGTCGTCGTCGTTGTCCTTGTCGTTGTCGTCGTCGTCGTCGTCGTCGTCGTCGTCGTCGGGGTCGGGGTCGTCGTCGTCGTCGTCGTCGTCGTCGTCGTCGTCGTCGTCGTCGTCGTCGATCGAGAACGGATGTCTTTGTATGTTCCCGGGGCGGTTTGGGGCGTTCTTGGTTGTGCCAGGGACTCAGGGTGGCAGGAGGAGTGGACTTGCTGTTGCAGGGGTAGGGAGAGTCTCAGAGGGTGGCCAGGGGAGGATACCTGGACCTCCTGGCGTCTCAAAGAAGATTTCGACGGAGGTTCTTCGCAGTGTTCGAGGTCGAGAGGCCGTTTCTGGGCCCTGGGACCGTTAGAAGCGACTCAGGATGAAAAGCCAGTCCCAGTGAAGGGGTCGATAGTTCCAGGGGCCGCCGATTCTAGAACGCCGAGTCGTCGGAGGTGTGGGACAGCAAGCGGATCGAGGCAGAAGGGAGGGGCAGTGCCGAGGCAGACGCCGAGTTCTTGGCGGATATCCAGGCCGCTGCTGATGACTGTGCCGACCTTTGCAGTAGCACTGGGTGTGATCCGCTGTCTCTCCTGATGTAATCCTTCGTTGGGGGTATGTTGTTGTAGCTTATTGGGGGAAGGACGAAGGTCGAACCCGGAAACTCCCCCGAAACCCGAAAACTGGTAGGGCTTAGCCCGAACTCCCGAAAGGCGCGAAACCCGAAAATACTGGAAGCCCATGTCCGAAACCTTCGGAGGGGGCGAGATACGACAAGTTGGAGGGGGTTTTCCAGAAAACCTCAGGAGGGGATCTCGAAGGAGGCAGGGCGAGGTTGCTGGCGGCAGGATGAGGTCGGACGAGTGGAAGGGGGCAGGAGATGGTATTGGGGACGAGGCGGTGGAATGAGCACGGGGCGGTCTTCCCTCCAAACTTTGCTTGCGTGTGCTTCCACTTGCTTGTATTATTTTGTATTGACGCGCCAGTATTATTTGAAGTAGATTGCCCCATCTTGCGTTTCACATACTCTGGGGGGATGGCGCACTTCAGCAATAAACATATTCAGGTAGGATTTGAACAATGGCCGATGCGAATAGGTTGTTTCGAAGACTTTCGCGATACAATTGTTATTGCTCTCTCCCCGCTCGCTCTGTGGAATCCCAGGGCTCCTCCTCGACCTGACTCTAGTGCCCATCCTGTCCTATGCGTATCTCTGTCTCTACTGTCTGTGCTAGCTTTCTTGAATGTATCTGCGCTGTGTTTGTATGTTCGAGAGAACGCGTTTCACGGGCGCTCGCCTTGGGAACATTCGGCGGCGCGTTTCGAACTGGGGGGTGGCCCCCCCCCAACACTCGGCGCCGTCGATCAAAACCAGGGGGACTCCCCTCCCCCCCAAACCCCTCTGCTTCCGAACCCCCCCCCTCCAGGGGGGGTGGTTCGAACCGCACCCCCCCCCTCGCCGGCGCCGGCGACCGCCAGCAGCGTCAACGGCGGGAACACAACGACGATGACCAGAGGCAGCCCAGGAGGGAGGGGAGGGGGGTTGTTCACCCCCCCCCTCTCCATGGCGCCGAGGGGGGGATTCAACCACCACCACCACAACCACAACCAGCACCACCACAATTCACCATCACAACTACCACCACCACCACAAACACCCACCACCACTACCACCACCACCACCACCACCACCACCACCACTATCGACCTCGCCACCACCACCACCGCCCACCACCACCCACCACCACCCACCCCACCACCGCCACCCACCACCACCACCACCACCACACAACCACCTACCACCACCACCCACCACCACAAACCACCACCACCCCACCACCACCACCACCACCACCACCACCACCACCACCACAAACCACCACCATACCACCACCACACCATCACCACCATCACCACCACCACCACCACCACCACCACCACCACCACAACCCACCACCACAACCACCGCCACCACCGCAACAAACCACCACCACCACGACCACCACCACCACCGCCACCTCCACCACCGCCACCACCACCACCGCAACCCACCATAACCACCACCACCGTCGTTCTCGTCTCGCCGACGCTCCCCGCCGCCGCCGCTCGCCGCCGCAGGCGGCGGCGCCGGCCCAGAAACGAAATCGTCGTCCCCGCCGCCGCCGCCGCCAGCCGAGGAGGGAGAGAGGAGAAGTTGGGGGGGGGTCGGGTTCCAAACCCCCCCTTCCCCTCCAAGCGACCACAGAACGCGCTCGTTCGCATGTTCACACAGAGAGCTGTAAGGAACAGTGTCCTTATCGTGTTTGGCTCAGGCCATTCGCGCTGCGTGCGCGTGAGGAAAGAATCCTAGTCAATCTATATTGCGGTGGCCGCCTGAACCCGTCGTGCCCGCAGTTCTAAGCGGAGCGTGGTTCCCCAGACGACTTCTGGCGCGCAGCAGGTGCGCTGGGGGGCGGTCTGCAGATCCGCGGCAGGGCGTAAGCGGCCAAGAGGCCAGACGACATGATGAGCACCTCGGACGCAGGCGCTTCAGCGAGCGGCGCAGCAGGAGCGCTTGCGGACACGAGCGTGGAGAGAATAGCAGGCAGAGTGGCTTAGATGATTCGACAGGGCACAGGAGTCGCACCAGCGACGCCAGCGCCCTAGGCAGTGCTGCTCCATTTCACGAGGCAGGCTGGAGCGTCGTTGACGAGTGGGCTGGGCATGAGGATCGCGACCCCTGGAGTGATCGCGACGGAAGGATGCTGCCTGGAAGGCCAATTCTGCCAACCACTCCCGATGACAAACGCGCGCCGCCATCCATGAGAGCCTCGGGATCGAGAGACGCGTGGCAGAGCATCGAGTGGTGGAAGGGCCGCGAGTGGAAGTGCCTGGGCGCGCGCCAGGATTGGCATTCCCGACAAAGATCGTGGCGGCAGACGTCATGGCAAGGCCAGTTGTGGCAACGACCCAGGCCAGTTCCATCGTGGCCAGGATTGGACAACATAATCAGATTGTGGAAGCAGTGCGTACGACGTTGGAAGGGCGACCTGCATCTGGGCGAGGTGCAGTCGGCCGACCGACTGCTCGAGGCGTTGCCCTGAGCTTCGAGGGCATCCCAGACCGTGAGTTGACGGTGCATGTCATCCTCCGGCGGATGGGCGTCGAGTCCAGCGAGCGCGAGGATGACGACCTATGCGGGGCCGGTAGCAAGGCGATGCAGAACGCCGAGAGGAGGAAGGGCGAGGATCTCCACACCTTCGCACAGGCGAAAGCGGCAGTTCGAGAAGGCGACGAGCGTCGGGATGGAGATTCCTCCGAAGATCCAGGGCGTGCTGTTGTTCAGGGAAGTCGTCTCATCGAGCACGGGCGGTGTGATCTCAAGAGCCTGACGAGGGGCTCCATGCTTGGGGAAGCAATATGTGAGCCCTGCCGAAGCCAGACACTGGCGGCGGCGAGGTCTGGGGCGACCGTCGACCATCGACGCTGGTCAGCATGGATCCTGAGATCACGCCTCCAGGCCCCGACTCCCGCGAGGGTGCTGCGGGCTCCTGCGGGCCGATCAACGAGTGGTCCCACTGGGCTGATGAGCTCGACTCAGACGACGTGGTTCTGGCGCTGGCGGAGATCTCAAAGAAGGGCTTCTTCGAGAGCGACGTGGTCGGGGCGCTGGCCTAGATCGGGAAGACGACAGCAGCAGAAGACGGCGCTCAAGCGTTATTGTTTTTTCTGGGAGAAGAAGCGGCGCTTGACTCCGTCTCAGCTAAAGCTGATCACCGAGCGCGGCAACTGCGGCGAGGTCGGGCGCCGGCACAAGGAGTGCAAGAACCCTCGCCGACCCAGGGACAAGAGCGACGGTCGCGGCAGGCCCAGGCAGGCGACTTCGTCGAGGCGTTCGCGCACATGGCGATCGAGGCGGACAGCGACGCGGGGGCCAAACTCAACGGCATCGCGATCCTGGGCGTGGAAGCGCTCGCCACACTGGAGGAGTTCATCAACCGGGGGCCGGGCGCCTCGGAAGTGCCGCTCGCGGTGCTGCAGCTGGAGCGCGGCCTGATCATCGTGGACAGCGGCGCCTCGCATGCCATCGGCGGGCGCCCGGCGCCGCGGGTGCTCGAGTCGACTGCGCGTAAGAGTGATGTTTCGCCGGAGGGACTTGGTGCGGGCACAGCGGGGTCCTCCGATCACCGATTGCGATGCGATAGTAGCGTCTTGCGAGCCTGAGTTTGGTTTCCCCGCGGCCCCCCAAAAGCCGCGCACCAAAGGTCACTCTTGCCCGGGGTCACTCTTGCGCTTGGCCGATCGAGGAGGGCCCGAGGCGCAGGGGGCTCCAGATCATCTGGATCGAGAAGATCGCGCAGCCACCACGAGGGATCGGCGGCTTTGCCGCCCTCGTTGGAGTTGCAGTGGTGCCGATCGGCATCAGCGGGAAGATCGGGGCCATCGAGTTGCGGTCGCGATGGAGGTCCTGCCCCCGCTCGTGCCAGGCGGCTTCCTCGAGCAGCTCGGCGCCGTGATGGGCTGCGAGGGGGGGGGCTCCACTTCGAGAGGCCGGACTTCGAGACGGAGCTCCACCGGGTGGGGGGGGCCCGCCGGGGCATCTGCATCCTCGACTGGCGCGGGGCGGAGGGCGTATTCGAGCCCGGTCCGCGCGCCTTGGCTGCCGGTTTCGGCTCGGGCGTTTTCCGAGGCTCGACCGTAAAAGGGATCGCTCCGACCTCTGAGGCTCTTTCCGATCCCAAGGGCCCCCCGAGAGCCTCCTGGCCCATTCCAGAGGTCCAGAGGCCAGGGCCCCGCAACAACTCCAGCTTCTTCCAGGCTCCACGTCGGCTCTCCGAACGACGCCAGCTCAGTGGGTGTCTCGGCTCAAACCTCGGGCCAGGCGCGGTGCGAACCAGCGGGGCCCTCGGCGACCTCTCGCGAGAATGAGGGGCAGCAGGGGCTCCGACATGTCAGCGAGAGCTCAGATGCAGTGGGTCAGGGTGCTTGGTGCCTGGCCGACGTGGATGCTGACGCTACTGGATCAGTTCAACCAGCGGGGCAAGAGGGGCTGACTCTTTCCGAGTAAGGAGCTTCACGAGAGGCTCATGGAGGTCTACAAGGAGGCGATTCATCGCTACAAGTACGAGCTGCCGATGAAGAAGCCGCTGTTGAAGGGCTTGGTACCCAGGACTCAGTGCCTACAATCTCCTCGGTGGTCCGAGACGTCTCGCGGCCGGTGCGGATCCTGGGGGCTGCGCGGCCGATGCAAGGCGGCCATTGGCAGTTGACGGCATCGGAGATCAGTAGGAAGATCAAGGTCAAGGGCAGAAAAAGCGCCCCCCTACCCTGGTTTACGAGGCGCTGTGCGCTGAAACTCCTGTGGGCTGACAGGGTAAACCCTGCTTGATGTGCCGCGTCCTGGCGGCTCTAGGCTTTGGGGATTCCCAGGAGGTTTACAGACCGCGCACTTGTAACCCAGGGTGGGGTCGTTTTTTTTCCATCCCTCAACAAGAAGCAGCCGCCGCTCGATGTCCGACCTCTCGCACCGGCAGCGCAGGCCATCCCGGCGTCC